CCTTAAAGGTTTTTTGTAAGTTTTCACTGTGTTAAAGATTGATGAAAACTATTAAAATTCTCTTTGAATTTCAGCATACATTCTTTGTGTTTATTCAGCATTTACTTCATTGTGTTGCATAAATGTCTGTTACAATCTTAAAATATAAAGAATAAAAAAATGTAATTGGAGCCTGGCTATTAATCAAGTAATTGTGATTAATCGCAATTAATGACAGAAAATTGTGAGATTAGTTAGTTAATTTTTTTTAATCTATTGACAGCACTAAAAAATACATCACCTGGATCACCTGTTGAGAAAGAAAAGAGAAAACAAGCAAAAAAAGAGAGCAATATAATAAACAACATCATCGCGATGATCTATGTGAATATAACAGTAAATACTAAATATTGAATATTATTGCAGCACATAGGATTGACAGCGCACAGTGTGCTTTGAGGTAGAGGCCAAAAAGGGTGTAGTTTGTGTCTGTGAGCACCTGTGTGTACACCTGTGAGCATGAGCGCGCTTGTATTTAAAAGGTTCCTTCATGTAATGATCTGCTAGAGGGTGTGGGGGGCCATAGCCCCATCCTCCAGGGCATGAAGCAGGTATGGAGGAGATCCAGGCTCCAGACATCCAGAGGCCCTCAGAGCACAAGAGACCGAGGAAGATCGATGTAGGGGCAACCATGCCACTCTCCTGGAAGGAGCTGAGGAGAGCCCCAGATGAGGAGTCACTCAGCAGCCACGGAGCAGAAGCCAGGGGGGGTTGCAGTGACGGGCTCGTGAGCTCCGCCGGCAGCCAGCTGTGCCAGCGTGGCCGAACCCCAGGCCTAGAGGCTGAGGGTACCCCACCCCCGAAGGGGCCTGAGCGAGCCCCAGGCTCCAGGCCCCAACAAGCAGCCACCAGGAGTGAGCCGGTGCGTACCTGGACGTCCATCCCCGGACACAAAGAACCACCAATGCACCGATGTCTGAGGGCGTCTGTCACTGGCAGGGGGAGTGGTGGGGGAAGATAGGCCTCTATACCTTGGAGGGCTTGAGATGTCCCTCAGCTTCTGTATGTTATTGTAGGATCTATCCCCCTACAATATAAAACTCCTTGAGGTAACACTTGTTGTGATTTGGCTCTATATAAATAAAAGCAAACTGAATTTAAAGTTGAGTTTCTTTTTCTCGTGTATGATACCAAGTGTACTGCGTATCACACTATTTTAGAGTTCTTCACTAAAACAAAAAGAAATCAGCTAAATACCCACGTTAATTTATTTGTTCACATTTCAGATTTCTTTTCATTTCATTTTCTGGCTTATTTCTTGTCTCTTTAACACTCAAAATCAGTGACAAGAGTTAAGAAAGAATATGTAGCTAATATCCTTCAACTGTGAAAACTAAACCATTTCATTGTGGGCTCCTCCTGTGCAACAAAACTACTTCCAAGAGTGCTTCAAGCCATAAAGAGCCAGAGCTAATATTAATTTCAAAGACACAACCCCTGGAAGAGCTACATCTGACAGGGACTTTTGTTTAGTTTCCTGGGGATGTTGTGGTATTTTTAAAATCAGATTTAAAAGCCCACAAAGAACCATACAAAATTAGCATTGGTAACAACTGAACTAAACTTAATCATATACAGTGGCTTGCAAAAGTATTCCGCCCCCTTGAACTTTTCCACATTTTGTCACATTACAGCCACAAACATGAATCAATTTTATTGGAATTCCACGTGAAAGACCAATACAAAGCTGTGTACACATGAGAAGTGGAACGAAAATCATACATGATTCCAAACATTTTTTACAAATAAATAACTGAAAAGTGAGGTGTTTGTAATTATCCAGCCCCCTTTGGTCTGAGTGCAGTCAGTTGCCCATAGACAGCTGCTCTGTGACAGCCTCAGAGGTTGTCTAAGAGAATATTGGGAGCAACAACACCATGAAGTCCAAAGAACACACCAGACAGGTCAGGGATAAAATTATTGAGAAATTTAAAGCAGGCTTAGGCTACAAAAAGATTTCCTAAGCCTTGAACATCCCATGGAGCACTTTTCAAGCCATCATTCAGAAATGGAAGGAGTATGGCACAACTGTAAGCCTACCAAGACAAGGCCGTCCACCTAAACTCACAGGACGAACAAGGAGAGCACTGATCAAAAATGCAGCTAAGAGGCCCATGGTGACTCTGGACGAGCTGCAGAGATCTACAGCTCAGATGGGGGAATCTGTCCATAGGACAACTATTAGTCATGCACTGCACAAAGTTGGCCTTTATGGAAGAGGGGCAAGAAGAAAGCCGTTGTTAACAGAAAACCATAAGAAGTCCTGTTTGCAGTTTGCCACAAGCCATGTGGGGGACACAGCAAACATGTGGAAGAAGATGCTCTGGTCAGATGAGACCAAAATGGAACGTTTTGGCCACAATGCAAAACGTTATGTGTGGTGGAAAACTAACATTGCACATCACTCTGAACACACCATCCCCACTGTCAAATATGGTGGTGGCAGCATCATGCTCTGGGGGTGC